AAAAAAATCTCCGCCTACTAAAATACATTCAAAATAAAAGTCCTCTCTTGGCGGTCGTATTTGATTTATCTCTGTTTGGAATGGATTATGTTGAACCATTCTATAAAGCATACATACTTAAATTTCCTCTCAGTTAGCTTCTAATATAATAAAATGCATAGAGTTAAAATAAACGTGTATTTACAAAAAAATATTTTATGTAATACCGCATCTATCCTACCTGTGGCGCAGTTGAACAAACGCCCGTGTTAAACACAAGAGAGGAAGACGTACCAAAAGATGCTGATATACAGAGTTAGTTGTACAGTAAAATAAATGTTTTTCTTGTTGATTTCGCTTTAGGTGGGCTTAACGTTTCTACTAACGAAAACGTTGAATGTTGCATGATTTGGACGTTGGTTATATTATTGTAACCTAAACCTGAGTAGATGAATAGCAACAAGATCAGTGTCTTGGCCAAACACGTGTTTCTGTGCAGATATGCATGGAGAGAATTATGTACAAAACATGTCCTTGGTAGGAGGTACATGACCTTTGCTAAATGTAAACCAATCAGATTTTCTCAATGTACCTCAAAATTAAGCACTGCATTTGCAGTTGCAGTTCTGCCAGCAAGGACCTTGTCTTTGACAGCTTGCATGTTCAAGAGCAAAAATCACAACACAGATAACAACAGTCTAGAGAAAGAGGAAGATGAAAATGATGAGGCAGAAATAGAGGCACTATTCCAGCAGCAGATCCCCACAGGTATTGGTGAAGAAGAACACAGGGTCTTCATTGTTCATCCTGATGTGAAATGGGGCAGCAGAAAGCAATATCTGACCACAGGTAAAAGTATACACTGATTTCAATCAGTGGATATGTGACATATTGCATAATGTAGAGTAGTTTCCTTTAACAGCGGCACTTCAGATGGAAGAAGCTGTGGGTCTGGTGAACACTTTGTACAACTGGAGTGTTGCTGATAAGATTATCCTCTCCACCAAGACACCAGAGAAGAGAAGAATTTTCGGCAAAGGAAACTATAGCTTGCTGGTTTTGAATAAATAAGATATTTTAAACACAAATTGAGATCTTTCCTTTGTTCTGATACATTTTTAAGAAAAGATCAGAGCTACTCCTGGGGTCACAGCTGTTTTTGTGAACGTTGAACGTTTTTCGCCTTCCTCGGAAGTGAGTATTATACTGTGATTGCATAAATTCAGTTCAAAGACTTCTAAAACGTGTGCATAAAAGACCATGAAAATCTATTTTGAATATTATGAGTCATGAAGAATCTATATCATTTCTATAAATAGTACTAGATTCACTGTGGCTATAGTATAAACATAACTTGTTATACTTTGAATATTGTTGTAATTAAAGTGTTAGTCATTTTTTCTAAGAAACATGCAATGTGTTATACTTGTGTTTCAGAAAGAATTGCAGGAAGCCTGGGGAGTAAAGGTGCTTGATAGATACTCACTTGTTCTGCATATTTTCCGCTGCAACGCTAGAACAAAAGAGGCCAAACTGCAGATCTCTTTGGCAGAGATTCCCTTGCTCAGGTAAATTATGTAAGTTATTCACTATTTTTCTAATCTATATTGTTTCCTGATGAAATCAACAGTCCTTTCCTAGCAAACTCTCCAGTTCAGAAGTTTGAAGCTAGTGCAATTTTTAAAGAAGATTCTAATGCTCCCCATGGCTGCATTTACTTGGTAAAAAGTACAGTAAATAAATATTTTGAAACATTTAACATTTTAAATAACTGTTTTATATTTTCATACATTTTAAAAAGTAAGTGATTCCTGTAATGGAATAAAGCTGATTTTTCAGCAGCCATTGCTCCAGTCTTTAGTGTCAGCACAGTTGTGCTGCTTAATATTTTTGTGGAAACCATGAACCATAACTTTTTTATTTTATGTCGTTTT